GCCCAAAGTCCCTACCGACAGGAAAAAGCTGTCCAGTGGATCCTGAACAGATGAGGGCAGCTAAAGCAGGAAAAGGTCGCCCTGCTAGGTACCGACTGAACCGAGTAAATCTTTTCAGATCAGATTAAAGTGACAAAACTGCATCTCCAAAGACCATAGGGCCCCCACTTTCGCCTGCTCTGTGCTCAGGTGCCTCCTCAGGTTTGCATTACATCACCACAGAAGGCAAGGCATGATGGGTAGACACCTGTGAGACCTCATGAGGAGGAAGGGGGATTTTTGCCTCCCTCCCCCCATTAACTGTGTGAATGTTTGTTTGTTTTTTTGTTTGTTTGTTTTTTTCATAAGGGCCCTCTGGGGGTCCTCCGGGTGTGTGTTGGATGTTTTCAGCATATCATGATACTCAGATTTCAGCTCTTCTGCCACAACGCCGAGCAGCACAAGGTTAAAAAAAGAAAAAAGAAAAAAAGAATGTCTGCGTTAATTCTGGGTCAGAGGTGGCGGATAAGTGGGGTCGCCACTCTGTGGCTGGAGCCGGAGTGGGCAGAGGCGCTTCCTTTTGTTCGCTGTTTACTGTTATGCAGCGTTTGACGCTTGGTCCAGGCCGCATGCGTTTGGCCCCTCCATGAGAAGCAGGGCCCTGCTAAATCCAGACCCGGGCCGCCGAGGGGAGAGGGACTTAATGAGCTCAGAAAAGGGAGGCGGGGTGCAAACATGGAAGCGTGATTTGTAATGGAACCAGTAATTATACAACTCAGTCTCACTGCTTATCCTGAAAGAGCTCAAAGATAACATAATGGAATCTTTTTGTAAACTTTGAATTTCCTCCATAGGGATGAATTAAAGTATTTCCTGTGTTCTGCTTTTCAGGTCTCGTTAGACTCAGGCATGCTGACAGGAAAACATCCTGTTTCACACTTCTTATTTCAACACACTATTTTTTCTTTGGTCTTTTGGTTTATTCTCTTGTGTTTACGTCCTCTTCACATCTGCTCTGTAGTGGATGATTGCCATGTTGCCGGCCCCCTCCTCATGCACCTCAAATACCCTCCTTCTTGGTCCTTTCCTGAATACAAGACAAGGAAAGAAGTGTCTCATGCGTCAGTATCTCACACAGAGCTGATCGGATGGGATCCCAGAGGGGGCCGTGTTTCCTCACAAGTCCACAAAATGTGGATTGTCTAATTTTTTTGTTTTTAATTTTGTGTCTGGGTGTTCAGAAATGTCACTTATCGTACTCTTAAACTGCCGGTCTGGTGAAATCGCTCCAGCGAGATTTTAGGAGGAATAGACACTTGAATTGACACATTTTACCCCATTTTGACCCCAAAAATTGTGACTTGAGGTGAATTTTTAGCACTGTTATTGCTCTCTTGAGTAATTTGCAGTATGAATGGCTTTGAACCCCTGCGTAAAAAATAGTGAAAAATAATTTGCAGTCATTTTTTGCATGAAAACACTGTCTTGAACAAATCACCATGGCAACTACATTTTCCTTCCCGGCCTCTCCTCAGAATAACACTAAAGCCCCGGCGTTGCTGTGTGTCTTTAATGGACTGTCACTCTCTGAAGGCTGCCACATATTCCCGTGTTTGTGTGGCTGTTCTCAGCTCCCCGTCTGTCATCCAGCAAAGCGGAGCGGAACTATTCAAGGAGGCAATCAATGCCGAGCAGCCGGCAGAGTGACAAAACAAAGCCCGGTGACGCGGCCGCGGATGCTTTTGATAGCAGGTATAAATAAAATGCAAACTGTTGCTCTCCGCTTCAAAACGACTGACGACTGAGCTGATGAGGGAGGGATGTCTGTCCTCACATTACTGCCTGCTCAGTGACTCCTGTCAAACACAGAAAGGAAGCTCCATTAATAACAGCACCTCACTCTCATTGTGTTTTCTATTTAGACGCATCATTCATTAAGATTCCTGCAGTTTCAGCATATACAGTATTTGCTTAAAAAAGGTGGAAATCTGTGTCAAATCAGCACATCAGATGGACATTTCTGCAGTCTCAGCACTCTTTATGTCTAAATGGCTGAATTTCACATCAGTTTCTGCTCTTTTTCTCAAGCTTTCTGTTTCTTCTTTAATCACTTTCTTATCAGTTTTCCTGGTCATTTGCTCCAAATTTGGGTCTTTTTCGGGCTAATTATTATGGGTTTATGTCCATTACTGACAAGTTTCTGTTCTTTTTTGGAATTTCTGTGTTTCTTTATTTATCATTTTCAGATCAATTTGTCTCTGTGCCTACACGAACTCATCAATTATCAAAGTTAAAATAAGGGAGGTTTTCCAGCTTTAGACGTCATTCACAAGCCGAGAAAAAAAGCCAAGAGGTCCCCGAGAATCTTATTGTTCCAATGACACGGTGATCCAAAAGAAATTAATCTAACTCTAATGGGAAATGATGGATTAACGTCCTTCCAGTGGCCGCTTCTCTAAGAAATATGACTTTATGAGTCAGTTCCTGTGCGATGTAGGTGTAAGAGAGGGAGGGAGCTGTGCAGCATTTCTTCCTGTCCTTTTATTTAAGTTTTGAGCAGCAGAGATCTGCTGGCATCCTTCAGGCCGTCTGCACTGATGCTGTCATTTTGTGAGGATGTGTGTATCCCGCATGTCATTTAATGATCCCGTACAATGCCAAAGGATACACTCATACACAACAGCAGAGCCCAGAGGAGGATGATGTTTCAACCACAGACTCCCACCCCCACACACACTCCCACAAGGAGCAGTTATAGCCGGTCTGCAGCCTCCAGACTCAGAGAGTAAATGAGGTGGAAATACACGAAGACTGAAACGTCCCCGGGGAGACATTACGTGAAAGAGACACCATTTCACCGAGGACAGAGGGCACACAGGGCTGAGAAAAACAGCGATGACAATTAGAGGCTGAAACAGAAAACTGGGGAACTGAACCAACACACACTCGTTAAAAACTATCCTATTAACTATAGATACTTAGGGGGACATTTAATGGACAATGTGGGAAACAACATCACGTATCATTCGATCATATTTATTCACTGGGCTGCACGGCAGAGTATGTTCTTGGGTAAAAAAAGTTGGCAGTGGTTTAACCCTTTAAAGCCTGATCCAAGAATATAACAAAACAGAAAATGACATTTTTTTTGGTTTGAAGTCTTTATTTGGCCTTTTAACAAAATTTGTAAAAAGAAAAAAACAGAAATGCACTTAAAATATGAATAATTTATTACTATGCGATAAGTCAAGCTTATTTTTTGTGTAGTCTTCTGCCCCCTGTTATCAGGTGTATCTGATTGTGTACAATAGGATTTTGAGCAACGTTTTTGCCATTAAATTATGCAAACGGTGTCAGACGCAAAACATTTCAGAAACCGTGTGTATCAAATATGATACATTTGGCACTACAGGGTTAAATGGAGACTCAAACTCAGGGGTGGGCACCTCGTTCCCTGCCTCAACACACCTGATTCACATCAAAGCACCATCAGGTGTTAGCAAAGTGAAAAGCCCACAGAACCCTCACAGTTAGAAGCACAGTTTCCTCTTAACTTATCTCTTTAAACTGAGCCATCATTGGGATGCCACCTCTTTTTTGCTCGTTTGCGTTCTCTGCTTTCTGAAATTCAATTAGATCCTTCTGTCAATCCAATCTCCACCATGACTGCATGCCTGTTAGTTTGCCATCTGCCTGCTGAATAAGCGGCCTGCCCTGACTCCCGCAGCACAAACACACACATCGCACTGCACATCTGGAGAGCACTACCTACAACCTGGAGGTGACAGGATTGAGACGTGAGTGGTGATGAGTGTGTGGAAGTTGTTCGCTCCCCTGACCTGAAGAGCTGTTTCTTTTCAGGGTCATTTTCCTGCCCCCTTTCTTTATGGACCGTGACGGCTTCAGCATCAGAGTTTATTGTGTGTCCAGCTATGATTGGATCCTGAAATGGTGACATCATGCCAATCTGAAGAGCTTGAGCTTTCAGCGGGGTGTAACATGTAGGGACGGAGAAAGGGTGGCTGAGGAAAACCCACATTTGTCCCGAAATATGCAGATTATTCATGGAGAGATCACTTTAAATCCTTTATGTTGTGTATCGTTACTTACAACTTCCATCAGGATGTGAAACCACACAAATGTCAGAGGATGTTCTATTCAGAAAACACTATGAAACAGCTTTGACTTACGGATGCCTAATGCTTTAGATAGACTCCTGTAAGGTTATGTAACTATGCTGTTGTGAAAGCCTTTCCTTCATGCTTTCTTACTGAATAATTTCCATTTTTCTGTCTTCCTCTCTGAGATCTTCAGCGTTCAGTTCAACACTTTCTGTCAGACTCCAGATGTACAGATGTTCATGCATTCAGCTTAATTACCACAGTGTGCATGCAGCTAATTGTTAGTTCAGTCAGTGTGCCTGGAGACCGTCCATCCAAAAGCATGTATGTAATTAAATATTTAGCGGGAAAGAGAGTCTTAGCATGAACACACAGCTCATGTTTTACAAAAGGTCTAGTCTAGGCTATTTTTTTAGGGTGAAATTTGGAAATCTCTCCATTTTTGCTTCATTTTGTGTGGAATATTTTATGAGGAAATGTCATTTGAAATAAAGGCATAGATCTTTGTTTAAAATCTCTCTTTGCTTTTGAGTTTCAGCACAGAGAAATGCGACAGA